CTTAATCTAATGTTGAAAGAAAATAATACATAGTAGGCATAAGAGCATAATTCATGCAAAGGGAGTACTTACATGAATGCAATTTAAGAAGCTATCACTCATCACACATTGTTGGTGTAGTTTGATTTGGTTTCATTTGATCAAGTGATCCAAGGTTTGAGTCTTAGTTCAATTTGAATTTGAATTACGGTTCTCCTTTTTAAATTCAAATTGAGTTAGACTTAAACATGGTTTTGAATTTTCAAATTATTTGTATCAAGTTTAAAATATTCAAAGAAACTTAATTAAGTGCTTGATTTTATTTGTAAAGCGAATTTGAATTTGAGAAGTGGTTCACTTATTTGAATACAACTTGAGTTAAATTTAAATTTAAGTTCTAATTCAGACTTGTGCTCCCTAGAGTCATCCCAATCCAAAGTCTTACTAGGTTCATTTCTAGTTTTTGTATCAATTTAATTTTTATTTAAACAACTTAGGGTTTTACCATTACATGAAACTAGGTTTGAATAATTTAAAATATGTTTAAATTCTAAACATATTAAATCAGATATAATTACTAAATGCTCATCTCAAGTTTTTGAACAAGTTAACAATTCCAACTACCAAGTTTTAAGTTTGCGTTTCAGAAATAGAAACTATAAGAGTTGCAAATTAAATGAAACTAGTCTTGTTTGTATTCGGTTCCGAATAAAATTTAAAATTATTTAAAAATATCAAACCATTGACTAAGTTAAAGTACATCACACTAGCTTCAATTTGCAAAAGAATCATTTCAATTGGATTTATATTTTTGAAGTTGTGCCTATTTTAAGAATTAAACCATTCTGTTAATTTCATTATTCAAATTTACTTTTTCAATAATTCTACGTAAAGTTCATTACTTAAGGTTCAATTTGCAAAAATAATCACATGGTTTGGATTTGAAGATAATTAGTTATTGTGTTTTGAAGTTCCAGGGTCTGTTCTGCAAAACCGCCAGTTATTTGTTGTGGATAATGTTTTGGACAATGTTGGTCATGTGGCACTTTATGATTCACCGATACTAATTCGGAATTAAAATAAAACTTAACCGTCATATCTAGATGTAATGACCAAATCTAATGGTACCGATTTGATTTAAGTTATGCTTTGGATTGAAATCGGACGGCCAGGGGGGTAGATTGGAGCTCACCACGGCGGCTAGGTCGTCGGAGACTAGACGAAAAACTTGGGCGCAGCAGCGACGGCTGGGACGTGGACGAACTCGATGCTCTGGCGCTCCCTAGAGACGGCGAGGTGGTCGACGACACGCAGACGACAACCACAAAGCTCCTGGTGGCCTCAGTTGACGTGGGGGTGGACGAAATCAATGGTGCGGGGTCATTGGAGTTGCACACAATAGGAAGAAGCTTTGTGTCGGGGAAACAACACCTATGGGATCACGAGGATCCCTTCTACGGTTGGCAGGGAAGAGGAATGCACAAAGAGCAGGTCCAACAATCAACACAAAGGATTTTTACCCAGGTTCGGGCCGCTGGGAAGTGTAGAACCCTAGTCCTGCTTTGAGTGTATATTTAGTATTCTTGAACCTTGACTAGCTGCTATGCGTGTCTGATCCAAAAAGTTCAAATCCTCCTCCAGTACGCCTTGGGCCTCCTTTTATACGTCCAAAAGGGGTTGCCATAGTGGCACACATGAGGTCTAAAGCTGTTATAGTGTCTATGTTTATCACTGGTGTCTTAGTACAAACGCATTAAATGCGCTCCTTACGTGCCCTCTAACTTTATCGGGGATGGGAATGGAGCCCGTCCCATCCGTCGCCGCCTCACCCCATCTTGACATGCATCCAGGCTAACAAGGCATGCAACGCCAAGCTGGCTGGCTAGCCGCTGCGCTAGGGTGGCAGGATCTTCACGAAGATCTGCATGCCACCACGCAGGTGCTTGCCTAGTTGGCAGGCTGGTCGCTGTGCTGGAACGGTCGCAGGGCGGCGGAATCTTGTCGTGTGCGAGCCTCGCTGTGGCTGGCAGTCGTCCCCGGCAAGAGTCTTGCCAGGGTCTCGCGGTCGTCCCCGGCAACAGCCTTGCCGGGGATTTCGTCTTCTGGTCTTCACAAGGATCTGCATGCTACCAGTCTTCACAAAGATCTGCATGCTACCAGTCTTCACAAAGATCTGCATGCTACTACGCATGTGTCCTTGAGTCTTAGTCTTGACGTTGTCGATGGTGTCAGAGCTCTCAACCTCAAGGGTAGTGGTCTTGTCTGTGCTTCGCAAGCCATCCCGGCAAGGGTCTTGCCGGGGTTCCGGAAGCCGCCCCGGCAAGGATCTTGCTGGGCATCTAGCTTGTCTTCTGCTCTCTGTTTACTGGCTTGGATGCCATCTTGGTTGTCTTGTATTTTGCCTTCAACTGCCCCGTCGAGCCTCGCCACACGTGCGTCTACAACTGCCCGTGCACAAGTAAGGGGTACAAAAGGGCCCAGACTTATGTACACCGACACTTTGGATGAGATGCGCTGCTCGAAAATGAACACGTTTGGATGCGTGTCTGGGTCAGTGAGATGCGCTCGAACAAAATGGGAAGAATGGACAAGGTACGCGACCAAACAACTCACAGAGCTCAACGGTGACGCGACAAAGGCGGCGCCGAGCTTCGGGCTCCGATGAGTTCGACGTTCCAGGAGGCTCTGGACATGCAGTTCATGTCCGGGGGGTTCGCCGTGGATCAGCGGATTGAGTGGTGGCGGTGGTTGGGCTAGGGATGGCCTGCCTCGCCAGAATTTTACCGATGTTGGGCTAGGTCAGTGGCGGAGGTAGCAACCCGCCGATGTTTGCGAGTGATGGTATGTGCGTCGAGCGGCGGTTGCGGGAGGTTAGGGGTGACCCTGATGGGTGTGTCCCGTCTGTTAGAGAGAGAGAGAGAGAGAGAGAGAGAGAGGGCACATGCGCGTGGGCTCGGTTGGCTAGCTGGGACTTCGTCGGCCGGCTGGCTGGCTAGGCCGTTTCTTTTCTTGTTCTTTTCTCTTCTGCCCTCTTTTGAATTCAAATTTTGAATTTGATTATTTATCAACTGAAAATTTGTCCTTAATTCACTTTGGAATATTTATGGTTGGGTGAACATTTTCCTTGTGGAATTTTACAAACTATTATTGTCAACTTCTATTGGGCCCTTTGGCAAAGTATTTCTATTTATTTTTTGTTTTTTATTCTTTTAATCAGGTTTTTCTTATAGTTCAAATTGCCTATATTTAAATATTTCCAAACCCTAGCTCACTCAAGAAAATAGGGCAAATATTTATCTTAGGAAATGTCTTTCCTGCCCTTATGCATTTGTTTTGATAAACCATTTATTCAGAGAAACTCCATGGCCATTAACTAAACTCTAAATGGTTTAGGGTTTAAGAATTGGTCATGTTTGTTCTCAAAACCAAATGTGCAAGGAAATCATGGATGTGAATGCTTCTAAATGCACATCCTAAATGTAGGGAAATTTGGGATGTGACACGTCCTCTTCCGTCCAGCCATCCGGAATGTCCGGCCACTGGGAGGCCCGAATGGAGTTATGCTTGACCGGCGGCTTGTTCCTCCTTCCGATCTCGATAGATGACGCGGAGGCGGTTGCCAAATCGGACGCACCCAAGTCCATGCCAAGCCTATGTGGATTCCTTCTCTGTTGCTTCCCAGGCACGGCTATCCCTCTGTGCGATGTTCTCCACCTTGCAAGAGACGGCGATTAGGACCCCCGCCCCCCACGGACTCTATTGAGGCATCGTGCATGGCGACGAGGTACTCGACGTCATCTAGGACAATGGATAAGGACGACGGTGCGGACAGGGAGCAAGGGTGAAGGAGGGCAACGACTCTGACACGAGAAAATGGATGACGGGCGCGGGAGGAGAGCGGTCAATTTGGAGCAGATCTGAGCTGTCAGATCCGATGT